GCAAATACTAAACAAGCCTTCTATATCCATGCTCAGATTTCGTCAGCGATCAACCCACTGGAGCTGACTGATGCATCCATTCCTGTAGTCTCATCATTTTACATTTCTCAGCAGGAGAGCACGAATCGCATGCCAAATATCCGAAGATTGCTGCTCCTCTAGGTGTTAAGAAGACTCTGATGTATTTTGTCAGCGTCTTCACCTCACCTAGAAGGGAAGACTATGTCATCTGCATATTCTAAGTCAACGAGATTATTCCCTAGTGGTAGCAAGTTAGTCCCTAAGTCTCTGAAGTCAGTTAGGGTTAAGTTCATTAGCACATCTAAGATGAAATTCAATAGAAATGGTGACAGTAGGCATCCCTCGTTGACAAACACCACTGGTTATCATCACTTCAGATGACAACTTTAAACTTTCTTAACATTTGAAGATTCATGACATCTTTAACTTAACCTCAACTTTTATACAAAATATAAGTTCATTATCTCTATAACCAACTAAATACTCTTAGATTAAACAATAATACCCATAAAATTGAAGAGAGTTGATAGCGTTTTTAAAAAAATATTATCATGACTCGTTGCACAAGAGGTGGCCAGCTCTCGTGGCCCAGTTATGGTCTAATGGATAACGCTTTGACGTTTGAAACTATGGGCACTGAGTTCGAGCCTTAGTGATGAGAACATCATCACTGACTGGGAAATGCAGGTAGGTACATCCAGCTAACGCGAGTCCCAAATAGGACGAAATGCGCATCCTGATGGATTCTACTGCTAGTCACCATCCACCAATTAAGTTGATAGCATTCTTTAAAAAATATGCCAGTGATAAATTACAATTAGCCTTATATGCATGCAATACATTTCAGTTCTAAACACTCGATCGTATAAATATGTTGTTGCACTTATGCCTAAGCTTAGAATATATCGCTAAGATCTCACTGGTGTCTATCAATCAGTGGTATATTTATATATATACATAGAGAGTTATGTATCTATGCTTGCCTCTTCCTTAACCTGCCATAGTGTGATTTGAATCATTTCAGTTTTGCAAAGGAAGCTGTGGTGAAATTTCCCCACACCTCGACTGGTGTAAGCTGCAAAGTATCAATAATATCTGATACAAATCCTATTGCACCAAATCAATACGCTTTCCCTTCAACCTTCCCTAAAAGGCTGTATACCTCAATAATTCAGCTTTAATTCGCGAAATATACCCATTAAGACATTGAAATAATAACAAATTAGTTCAGCGAAGAGTCTCTTTTCGGCGAATTCATTCACTTAGCTGTACAGTCGCAAATATATATACAATTATTTTGTGTGTGTGTGTGTGTGTACATTAGGTTTGTCAAAATCAAAATAACAGTTAGTGTGGGTTGTTGATTATATCATCAAAATAATGAAGAAGTTAAAATGTGTGGTTAGTAATCAAAGTTGTAACTAAGTGGGGTGAAGATTGGTAAGATGTGAGTAGAGTTACATCATCAAAATAATGAAGAAGTTAAAATGTGTGGTTAGTAATCAAAGTTGTAACTAAGTGGGGTGAGGATTGGTAAGATGTGAGTAGAGTTACATCATCAAAATAATGAAGAAGTTAAAATGTGTGGTTAGTAATCAAAGTTGTAACTAAGTGGGGTGAAGATTGGTAAGATGTGAGTAGAGTTACATCATCAAAATAATGAAGAAGTTAAAATGTGTGATTAATAATCAAAGTTGTAACTAAGTGGGGTGAGGATTGGTAAGATGTGAGTAGGGTTACGTAATATGGAGATGTTTAGAAAGATTAGATGCTAGTGAAGGAATTTGGATACAATTATGAAGATAAACTAGATAATAGGTGAAAAGATTGAATGGGTTAGTTACTAAAAATTGTTATACGAAAATTGCAAAAAATTTGATAACAAAATGTTGATGACAAATAAACTTGGAATTAAACCCACGGTAGTAGGAGGGGGTGGAGAAGTTTCTTCTGTGTGCATAACTCAGGCTTTTCCATCCAAATCGCTAAGGCTTCAGCAATACAAAGTATACGGAAGCTTGTTCTAATCTTTCTAAACATGTCTATATTACGTAACCCTACTCACATCTTACCAATCTTCACCCCACTTAGTTACAACTTTGATTACTAACCACACATTTTAACTTCTTCATTATTTTGATGATGTAACTCTACTCACATCTTACCAATCTTCACCCCACTTAGTTACAACTTTGATTACTAACCACACATTTTAACTTCTTCATTATTTTGATGATATAATCAACAACCCACACTAACTGTTATTTTGATTTTGACAAACCTAATGTACACACACACACACACACAAAATAATTGTATATATATTTGCGACTGTACAGCTAAGTGAATGAATTCGCCGAAAAGAGACTCTTCGCTGAACTAATTTGTTCTTAATTCAGCTTTACACAGATTTTGTATAAATGTTATGATGTGTTATATAAATGTTTCTCTGTTAAGCATATAGCATAGCATCTAGAGCATAGGACAGACAAGAAATGCACTTCATACGGCTTCATACACAGTCTAAAGTGCAATGAAAACTATAAAGCATAAGTAAATATTCTCATATTCATTATATAATCGATAATTGATCGATAATAATATAAACAAATAAACAACCAACAAACCGACCAACCAACCAAACAAACACAAGTATATAACTGTTGGTTTTTCTTTTTCTTCAAAATTTCTGATATAAGAGAGTGGGTTAATCTCCCTATCTCATCATGATGTAATTACATTATTTTTTTTTAATAAAAGAGTTAATTAATAGAGACTGATTGATTGATTGATTCATTGATTGATTAATTGACTGACTGCCCGATCGATTGATAGATGGATAGACAAGTGAACTTTGAAAGAATAAATAACAAGTAAGTAAATAAGTAAACAAGACCTAAACAATGTTACTCAACGTTATAGAGACAAATACACAAGGACAAAAAGGAGGGGAGCAGGAGGAAAGACAACAGAATGATGAAGATAGAAGGGTAAAATGAGAAAGAGAAAGGAAGAAAGAGTCATATAAATCATGGATATTTACTGACACGCGCGCACATGCACACGCACAGAAGAAATATAAACGACAGTTCAGTACAGAGGCGGAGAAAACGAAGAAGAAGAAGAAACAGAATGTAAAGTAGAACCCTTATCACATAAACACACATCACAAATATCATTATTATTATTCTCTTATCATCTCTTCTTCATCAAATATCTTTCACAATGCACATAACACATCTATGGGGATAAAGCAGGCATTGAGATAACATAAAAAAGGTGTAAGAGACAGACGATGAAAGGAGACGAAAAAAACAAACAAATTAAGTAACGAGGGAAATAACAAACAAACAAACAAAGAAGGAGGGAAGCACAAAGCGAACACCAAAAGCGCTGTAGAAAAAAAGTGTTAAATGCATATCATTGTTATTATTTAGATGCTTGTTTGTGGAGACGATGGATCCGCGCACAGAGAACAACAAAACTATGTTATGTATATATATTCAGGGTGTTCATCAACAATAAACGCACAGAGAGTATATATAACAAAAAGACACCGAAAAAATAACACACAGAAGTGTGTGTGTAGGTGTAGGCAATGAGAAAAAAAGGAACAGTGTGAGTGATGTTGTGTCATTGGTATGAATGAGAATATAGCAAAGAGCGAAAAAAGATGTGTGTACATAATTTTTGGCATACTTACTTAATGTTAAAGGTAATACTGTTCCCCCACACACACTTTAACACAAACAGGATATATAACATAACTACCACGATTTCTACGATTTCACAAGTAGGACTAGAATAAACACGCCAGCGATACAACAAAGCAAACTTGATTATGCGCCTGCCATTAAGTATTATGTATATATGTGTTATTGATAGGACTAGTAGTGAATATATATATATATATATATATATATATATATATATGTATATGAATACTTGAAACAACCTGTAACCAGGATATTCGTAACTAATTAATAATAATAACATTACTATTAGTAATAATAATAATAATAACAATAATACCAGTAGTATAGTAAGTAGTATAGGAGAATAACACGAGGAATAAAAGTGCAAAACGGTGGAAATAAATACTCCCAGGTATAATATATGATATAATCAGCCACGCATGAACACAAATGCAAACACACACACAAGCACGCACATTACAGACATCCCAGGGACCAGAATAGTGCAAAAACAGAACAACAACAATAACGTGAACACTTGAAGAATAGTTTTCTCTTCTATCTCTCTCTCTATATATCATTTTTATTTAACTATGCATAGTTTCATGTCATGTTTATCTCTTTTTTATTGCACAGTTATAATATAATGAATAAGGTGGGGCAAATTTGTAGAATTGTACAGAACGGAGGGCACATATCTATGTATGTATGTGTTTGTATGCGTGTGTGTGTGTGTGAGTGTATCTGTTCATATGAGCATACAACACACTTGAACATCTCTCTTACTCTGCTTCCTCACTCACTCAATCTTTCTTCCTTCAAATTGAGGAAATTATATTGCACCCTAGATGACAAAACATCAAAGTTGATATATAATAAATGCAAACAACAGCAGTTATAAACAAGACAAAGATTTAATATATATATTCACAATAAGTAAGTAGGAGTAAAATTTATTCATAGAATAGAATGTATCTATGTATGCTTGCCTTACAGAGAGGAATAGGATGATATAGGAAATTGAAATTGTGTTTACTACACAGGTTTGAAATCCAATCCAACAAACCACACATCCCCTACTTCACAAACACACACACACACACAGGGTGATAAGTATACTGTGAAAGTACAAAATGCTCAACAAAACGGTAATATAAACATGAGAGAAAATCAACAGTACACAGTTAAACTTTAATACACCGTAATATAAGAAAATAATAATAATAATAGTAATACTAATAACGAACAGTATACAACATGATTTTATATATAGTAGAAGTGAAATAATACCGAGAAAAAATGTACAACAAAATGTGATTCAACATGGTTTTCAGATCAGCGCTCCCTCCAGGAATGACATGTGTTAACAAACACAGACAGTGTGGATAGATAGATGATAGATATATGAAGAATTGCTTACACCCATACTATAGAACCTTCACAATGTCATGGAAATTGAATTAGACTCGGGTCTGTTAAGAAGTTTTATATAGAAAAACACAACAACAACAGAACAAACAAAATCGAAATCAATCTGCCCATCCATCAGCTGTTGCTAGCACTAAATTTTGAGTGCATGTGCCGAACAATAATGACTAGACAAGATATATGTAAACGAAACAACAACAACAGATAAACCTTAAGTGTGTACAATATGTGTGTATAAGACAAACGAAGAGAGAGAGAGAGAGAAAGAACAAGAGAGGTAGAGAACCCAACCCAACCCAACCCAATATACATACATTTATAGATGGGAACGATGTTTAATTCTGTATGATTTGAAACTGCTTCCACCACCACCACCACGACGACCACGATGACAATCAGATGAGGCTTTAACAGATTCACGAGATTTTGATCTAGTGGCATAGGGTGTTACGTGTACTCCTCCTCCTTCAGCTGCTGTTGTCGTCATCACTGATGATGACGATGGCGATGAATGTGGCAAAACTGGTTTTTTACACAGGTATTTATTACTGGGGGATTTTGATAGATGCTGATGATGATGTATTGATGGTTTAGATACAGGTTGTTTACTAACATTACCATTGGATAATCGATTAATCCCAGGTCGATGATCAATATCCTTGTAATACGTCAAACCTTCTTCTTCTACGTCTTCCTCTTCTTCATTCTTTAAGAAGTCTTCAGAACCAGGCGACTCAGATCGTTTCGGCAGGCTTAGTGATTTCCTTGCTCTCTTCGGTGTTACACACTTTTGAATAATCGGCGATGCACTGACGCCATCTGATTCTTGTTTTATGCGAAGCGGTATCTGAAAGCTGTCTCTATCATAATCTATTTGTGTATCGCTTGAAAATTCTTCACAGCATTTGATAGTTTTATTCATACCAATTTCAATTTGGTGGTCAACATTTCTAGACAATTCCATCGAAGCATTGTCATACACCGACATGTTACCGCCAGTGGAATTATCGAACTCTTCTACTAGACTACCATCTAACGCAGTCATCATTTGTGAGGCTGACACAACTGACATTGACGATGACATAGTATTCACTACGGCAGTAGTTTGCGAAGAAAATGAGGAACTATTTGATTCGGTTGAAGATGTTATATCTAAAGGTGATATAGGACTTATACCAGTCGGTTCACATTGATCTGAGCATGATGATACAGGAATGGAGACTGTGTTCAGTGGTGATGAGTTACTGGATGTATGTTTAAGTGAAAGAGAGAGAGAAAAAAAGGGATAAACCAGTTTGTAAACCATACACAATAATTATAGTGTTGAAATAATAAATTAATAACACTAATAACCTCTGTGATGTGGACAGTCTTACCGAGCATCATCCATCTTCGTCCTCTTGATTTCAGTCCTAAGCACCATGTTAAGCCTGTCTGTCTGCTTTCGACATTGAACTTTGCAGATATGTGCGGCAGTTCAAGTCACCACACTCCCTCTTTGTAGCACACAAAGCAAGAGAAGAAAGTAGGAGAAATGCATAATATAGTCAGTAAACAGAGGTGTGAGACAAAGGAGTAGTAATAACGAAGAACAAAGCAGTTTCATTGGAAATCATAAGTCACAAGGAGTGGATGCATCTGCGCCAGCCATTGAGAACGAGGATTTTGAGCCATGTCACCAATTGTTTCCAACCATTGGTTTTTACCTTCCCGAGGACCCCAACTAGGAAGTCTACACTCTCCTACGTGACCTAGACTAACCGTTGTAGATTTCATTGACTGGTGCCGCCATGTTTTGGTTTGACCGCCGCTAGCTCTTTTCCAGCCTGACCCTATGTCAGCTAACATTGCCCATTGTCGAGGAAGGCGATGACTAGGCATACGTAACACATGTCCTAACCATCTCAGTCGGTGTAGCTTCACAGCCTCGTCGATTGATTTCCCCTCCTTACCTAGCACTCGACGCCTAACCTCAGTATTGCTCACCTTATTATACCACTTCACACGGGAGATAGAACGCAGGCACCTATGATCGAAGACAGCTAATCTTTTCATGTCTTCCACTCTCAATGGCCAGGTTTCACAGCTGGCCATAAAGGAGGACGGAGCGGACTGATGAGCAGTACACACGCCCTTTGGTCGATAGTCGGATATCACGTCTACGTCAGAGACGGCGTAAACTGGCATATGCGAAACTAGCCCTCTTTATTCGTGCTGAGATTTCGTTGGGGATCAACTCGTTGGGGTTGATGGTACTCCCCAAGTAAGTGAAGCGGTCAACGTGCTCTACCACTTCACTCCCTATTTCTAAACTAGGAGTCAGTGTAGTCCAATCCTGCAACATCATCTTATACTTAACAGGGGCGAATCGCATGCCAAACATACGAAGATGTTCAGCCTAAAGGAACTTAAAGGCATCTATGGACGATAAATCAGTTAGCCGCTTTTTAAACAGAAAGAAGTGCATCGTTAGTAAAACTAAATAAAAACGACTAAATTGAGTACCCTCAAAACTCTATATTTAACAAAGAGAATCAACTTTCAAGCGCATTTTAAGCCTTAAGCAATCTAATCCCACATTCATTAAACAAGTACAGCGACCTTTGCTTATTAGCCAATATATATATATATATATATATATATATATATATATTGGCTATATATATATGGCAGTCTCAACTATATGTGTAGATTTCATGGTTGAAGCCTTATCGATTTTCGACAGTCGTGAAGATTAACAACAGCAGTTGCATTAATCTTTCCACGAATTTTATCATTTGTATTACCTATCAGGTTTCTCAAAGTTAGTTATATTTCAATCACTTATCCCTCCTTTATGAAATTCAGTAAAGCAAACACAACGGTTTGTGCAGAATAAGGTGGTGGTACCATTGTGTATTCTATTGGCTTCTTATCATCTACGTACAACATGAATAAGTGAATTAAATTTATGCACTGAATAATGGTGACATGTTAACTTGCAAATGTTGCATAATGTCAGTTGACAGAAGACTCAACAACTTAATAAAGTGCTCAGAAATTGCCCTTATACAACTGATACATACACAGAAGGTTCAAGTTTAAACAAGAGAGAGAAATAAAGGTTTGGATACAATTGTAAAGGAGTTGCGTAATCACGACAGGAGGTGGATAGAGTAGTGAGTAACTATTAAGTCGAGTAACAATGCGGTTAGTTCAACTCGAGTCAGAAAAACAAGAGACAGGTGAAGTCATATTATAGCGAAAAAGGAGACGTTAAAGCCAGATGTTGCGTAATCGTATAGGCTGGATTCAACATAGAACTTGGCACCGAAGTGCAGCAGTTCCAGTTGCCACGTTCCAAATACCACACAAAGGTAGACAAGAAAATGAGTGATGAAGAGAATCAATAGAGTTTTGACAAGTATAAGAGTGAAACAGAATGAGTAATGAAAGTAATGAAAGGAATATGAAAGATTACAGAGACTGAATACATCTGCGTAAGCCATTGACAACGATTTTGAGCCATGTCACCTATTGTCTCCAGCCATTGATTCTTAGAGTCCCGAGGGCGGGCCCCAACCCGGAAGTCTGCATCTCCCTACCTGACTCAGTTTAACTGTCAGGGATTTCATGGATTGATGAGGCCATGTTTCTGTTTGGCCACCACTTACTCTTTTCCAACCAACCTGCACCTATATCAGCTAGTAATGCCCGTCCGTCGGGGGAGGCGATGGTTAGGCATGCGCAGCACATGACCTAACCATCTCAATCTATGTAACTTTATAGCCTCGTCGATTGATTTTCCCTCCTTGCCCAACACTCTACTCCTAACGTCAACATTACTTACCTTATTATGCCACCTAACGTGAGAAAGAGATCGTAGACATCTGTGGTCAAAAACAGTCAACCTTTTCATGTCTTCAACTCGTATTGGCCATGTTCGTATAGAGTAGATAAAGACATCCTGTTACCAGGACAAGGAGTGACTGATAACTGCTTGTTTTTGAATGCATAAACCAGGTTTCAGGCGTGTCATAGCAATCGCTTCAGCAAACTCTGTATGTACAGTATGCAGCTGGATGAATGAAATAAATCCTGGTTTATTAAATTTTGTTGCTTGTTTGTTTTAAACTCGAGGAGAATTGAATCATTATGTCTACTGGTAGTTTTAAAGGATTGAATGGTGTTTACCTCATGATATGTGTCTATGAGAGATGTCTGGCGCTGTTGAGAGCGTTTTCCCCTTAAGACGTAGGCTTTTTAGTACATTTCCAGAAAATCGAAGGTGTACCCTTCTTTCTGTTCGCTTGATGGTAACTGCTGTCTCACATACATATAAATTTGTAGACACAGGTTATCTGTCGATGTTTGATTGCACCAAAGAGCATTTTGTCCGATAAACGGGAACCAACTTAACTTCAAGATAAGTTCTAGCTGGTGAGGTATTTAATCTTACAGTGATTATTCCTGCAGTTAAATGAAGATCAATTTCTTATGCATTGTTATTTATTTTGCTTTTAAACCTTCAAATTTCTCCTTCTTATTAGTGAATTTCACAGGGGAACCGTTGTTTTTCAACATCTTTTTCACAATCAGAAATTCCTCCTCTAATTTCTCTGTAGAGCATATTCTCTTGGCTCTATAAAAAGTTTTGACCAATGGTCGTTTATAGCTATTTGGAAAAAAAAACTATTAAAATGAAAGTATTGCCCATGTATGCCATGTAAGATTTGTGATGAATTGGACTCTGGAGACTATCATCTTCCAGGTGTTGTGTGGCAGTGTCGAGGATTTGAGACTTACCACCACGTTCATGTTCCATAGTGAAATCAGTATTAGTTTGTGTCATTGAATAGTCGAAGTAGATAGGATGCATGAATCATTGTTGCAATTTATAAATGTCATTGACAATAAGAGGATGCTTCATCGATTGCAGGCTTCACTATTGCTCTCTGAAGGTTAGACATATTGTCTGTTAATACAGGGCTTAGTGGACTGCTCATAATAGCTGACATCATTTATTTGACATTAAGAGGTATTGTCTAATTGGAATTGCACATCCGTGCTGCACAATGGCAGGCGTTTGAATTCCGGCACTGAGAGTGAGAGAAGATCAGAGTGCTGACAAATAATAATACCGATAGTTTTATTAATTGGGATTCTTATGAACAGGGATATCGCATCAAATGAAATTATTGAAAACGCATGTGGGGTTCAGGCTTTCGGCGAAATGAAATGAATCTTTCACAGTGCGCACAGCTTAACTGTTGACAAATAGCCTCCAACTTCTCTGCAAGCCAACGTGCATCTTTGTGCTGAAGCAAGTTTAATCATAGAAAGTATAAGTCTGAGGGGAACATTTTTTGTCTTTTTGAGAGGCCATACATGTGTAAGACAAAGGAAACCCTCAGGGATTTAAGTCATTGCAAGCATCGTCGTGAGTTAATTTCTTCTTTAAGAGCTTTCTCAGTCCGTTTGCTGTCTGTCTTGCCATTTTCTACTTCAAACATCAACGAGTCATGTAAAATAGATTCTGTCTTTGCAGTATTCTCTTTGTCTGTCAACACCACTCCTGATCCCTTGTTCAGGTTGCAATATCAGGATTCTATCATTATTTGTGAGATCGTCTAGTGCTCTTTGATGTTCTTCAGGAAGGAGTTTGGAATATGATTTTGATGAAGTGAGATATTGTTTTGCAATGTTGACGAGCTTCAATTTGAGTAAGCTTCTTCTTCGCCTCATCTCTTAGACTAAGGCCATTCAGTTGTAAGAATAAGTTCAGTAGATGAGGCGAAGAAGATCTTGTGCAAATGTAAACTGGTTGATGTTGGAAAGCAATACCTCGCTTCACCAACCTTATAACCCATTGTATTCAATCATGTATTATTTTTTTCGATAAAGAAAGGAAGACGAAATTTGCAGTATAAAATGATATCATTCTATTTCACAGCTTCTCATCAGCTGCAGACTACCTGAAATTACAATGGTTATATAAATGATAATAACATACTTTAATGTTTGAGTAGTAGTAGAGAAGAGATAAAATTGACGCATCCAAAAAAGAATGAAAGCATTACAATTTTTAGTTCAAGTTATCATCATCAATTTATACACTTTCAAAGTTGAAAAGAGGGGGAAGGGGTAAGACAGAAAACAGAAAAATTGATTAACAGAAACAGTGTTAGCTTGTAGGTTCACATAGCAACTCCAAAAAACAAAGGCGGTTACAGTTTATGAGATTAAGATTTGTTCAGTGAGTTGAGATCACTGAATTAGATGACTAATTATTAACTATTACTAATTAACTGAATTTTGATTTTGATTACAATAATTAGTCATCTAATTCAGTGATTTCAACTCACTGAACAAATCTTAATCTCATAAACTGTAACCGCCTTTGTTTTTTGGAGTTGCTATGTGAACCTACAAGCTAACACTGTTTCTGTTAATCAATTTTTCTGTTTTCTGTCTTACCCCTTCCCCCTCTTTTCAACTTTGAAAGTGTATAAATTGATGATGATAACTTGAACTAAAAATTGTAATGCTTTCATTCTTTTTTGGATGCGTCAATTTTATCTCTTCTCTACTACTACTCAAACATTAAAGTATGTTATTATCATTTATATAACCATTGTAATTTCAGGTAGTCTGCAGCTGATGAGAAGCTGTGAAATAGAATGATATCATTTTATACTGCAAATTTCGTCTTCCTTTCTTCATCGAAATTTATCAAGGGAACCAGTTGTATGAATATTATTTTTTTGTCTTAACTTGAACCTTCTGTGTATGTATCAGTTGTATAAGGGCAATTTCTGAGCACTTTATTAAGTTGTTGAGTCTCCTGTCAACTGACATCATGTAACATTTGCAAGTTAACATGTTAACATTGTTCCGTGCATAAATTTAATTCACTTATTCATGTTGTACGTAGATGATAAGAAGCCAATGGAATACACAATGGTACCACCACCTTATTCTGCACAAACCGCTGTTGATGTTCTTTGCTTTATTCAAGGTAATAATATCGTGTTTTTTTCCTTAACCTTATTCTTTACTCATTTCACAAGTTTCCCTTTGCATTTTTATATGCAAATTAACAACCCAGTGAACATTTATGCAATCAACAATATAAGGTATAACTGCATAGACGAAAGCTTATGATAATAATATCCAAAAACACAAACCAAAATAGTAGACTAGACTGACTGACTGACTGGTTTCAACATAGAACTTCGCACCGATGTGCAGCAGTTTCAGTTGCCACACTACACTCAGAACACAAAGCAAGAAAAAGTAAAAAGAAATACGAAATAGAAACAGTAAACAGAGATATAAGGCAAAACGAATAGTAATATCGAATAATCATGTAATTTTATTGGGTATTATAAATCACAAGGAGTGGATGCATCTGCACCAGCCATTGATAACCAGCATTTTGGGCCATATCACCGATTGTCTGTCTCCAGCCTTCATTGGTTCCTACCGTCCTGAGGACCCCAACCAGGAAGTCTACACCTCCCTATACGGCTTGGACGAACTGTTGTGGATTTCATTGACTGATGAAGCCATGTTTGGGTTTGACCACCACTAGCCTTCTCTTTTACAACCTGATCCATCCTATGTCAGCTAACATTGCCCATTGTCGAGGAAGGCGATGGCTAGACATGCATGCGTAACACATGTCCTAACCATCTCAGTCGATGTAGCTTCACAGCCTCGTCGATTGATTTCCCCTCAATGCTTACCTAGCACTCGACCCAGGTCTAACCTCAATATTGCTCACCCTATTATACCACTTCACTAGAGGGTTTGCATTCTGCACTTTGAAGCTGTTGTTGTGAGTACATCGAGTGTTTAAAGTGTAATAACATTCCTTTACGTCTACCTAACAAATAGAAAGAATGAAATTGTACACATATTGCTTCCAACTCGCATGCATTAAATAACAATAACAAGTATACTTACTGCAGTCGAAAACCATCTAGACGAACTTCTTGAAATAAAGAACTCAAATTCGACTTGAATCTACTATTCTCATTTGGATTGCGAATACTGATTTCCTTTGATCCCATAGGAATTAAAGTGGAAAAATTCACTTGATGAGAGTGTAAAATAGAACCATTTATTGAAATCGGTACAGATTGTGAGTGTGCGCGTAGAAGAACAGAACCATTGGAATTAGAACTTAAATGATGTCTATTCATGAAACCTGACTGAGCATTTCTAACTTTACTGTGTGTAGCTAAGTGTGACTTTAGATTTGTCGACTGAGCGAAACGTTTGTTACAGCCAGGTTGTGGACATGGATACGGTCGATCTCCAGTATGAATGCGTAGATGAGTACGTAGATTGAAATCCAAGGAGAAGCGTTTTCCGCAACCCTGAAATATTCAAGAAACAGAATTTGAGGGGAAAATAGAGTGAATAACTTGTATGTTGTATGTTGAACACGTTAAATATTTCATAAACGATGTGTGCTGTACTTTTTACTTGTAGTTAGTGTAGAACAATAGACACAGTTGTTCTCAAATTTTGCCACTTAGCAGATAAAAATAAACGATACGCTGTAATGCATAGACAGTAAGTTCTAATAAATGAGTTATGAAATGTGACTCTGTACTATAGAGCGAGAAGAATATGCTCTATAGAGAAATTAGAGCAAGAATTTGAGTTTCTTGAAAAGATGCTGAAGAGCAATGGGTACCCTCAAAGGTTCCATCAACAAGTATGGAAGATCTGAAGTCACAAATGTAAAACAAATCACAGTGGGTAAAAAGCCAATCTACATTCAGCTTGATTATAAAGGTGAAAACATTGCAGCGATGATCAACAGAAGGCTGAGTACATCACTAGCCACAGCCTGTTCTGCAGTTAAGCTCGTTCCCGTCTATCGAACAACTTGCTCTTTGGTACAATCAAAAATCGATAGATATCGTTCTCATGTTAACTCAAACTGTATATACAAATTTACATGTGTCTACGGGAGCAGTTACATTGAAAGGACAGAAAGAAGGGTACATCTACGATTTTCTGAACATGTAACAAAAAGCTTATGTCTAAAGGGAACAAATGCTTTAAAGTGCTATCACCAGGCATCTCGACATGCGTCGGTCATGAGGTGGACGTTGAAAAGTCGTTCAAAATTATCAATAGGCAAAAGAGCTCAATTCTCCTCAAATTTGCTGAAGCCATTTCCATCAAGCGCCTGAAACCTGATTTATGCGTCCAGAAAGAAGCGGTTATCAGTCTTTCTTCGCCCTGGTAACTGGATATTTTCATCTCTCTTTCATCTGAATGCGCAATGCCGAAAAGTTTCCATTGTGTATGATCACTATTGTTTGGAATAGTGTTTAATAATAATTATATATATATATATATATATATATATATTATTACTGTATACATATATCCATCGATTGGTTTTTGTCTAAAATGAACTCTGTGCAAGTATGTTAAAATTGTTTTTGTAGATACATTTAACAATGTCTTTGGCCTGTGAGCAGCTGAGCTGATGAGAAGGCAACGAAATAAACAATGATGGTACCACTTTATTCTGCAAAAACTGTAGTTCTTGCTTTGTTCAAATTCATTAAGGGGAATAAATGTATGAAATAACAGTATATGTCTGATAAACAAACTTGTCCACATAAAAGAAGAACACTTAGAATTAAGAAACACTGTATATTTGAGATAAACCATTGAATATATGGCGTCTTCATAATCCTGAAACAACAGCACACATGTTAGACCTCTAGTAACCAATAGAAATAATGGGAATGTTTACTTGTGTTTGCCTTACTTATCCCCCACTGTAATTTATAGTTATTCAATGTGTTTTTTTCAAACAAAACAGGGTACAATAATTACTGAATTCAATGAAGTACATTCGGCTATGAAATTCACATGCGAAGAGGAATCCCAAAACATAATTGCCTTCCTGGATGTCCTCCTTACAAGAAAACCAGATGGTAGCATAAAAGGGAATTTGCATAGAAAAATTACATGGACAGGACAATATACACATTTTCACAGCTTCGTTCCTATCAAGTACAAAAGAAATTTAGTGAAGACCCTCGGCCACAGAGTCAGTTAGAGCTATATGCTCAGAAGAAGTAATTGAAGATGAATTAAGCATTGTATATGATACTTTGATCCAAAATAGCTATCCCGACAAATTTATCAAGAAACACATGACAAAGAAAGCGGAAAAGGACTACTCATTGTCTGTAAACTAGAAGCCTTTATATATACGACTACAATTCATGGGCGATATACCAAGTGAAATAATTACGAAGAAATTAAGAAAGTCAGTTCAAAGAACTTTTAATGCTGGCGAACTACCCGTATTATTCTCTACACGACCGATGGTGCTACCTCGACTGAAAGATGAAGTATCTAGACTAGCCACTTCTAATTGTATCGATCAATTCAACTGTGCTTGTGGAGCGAGTTATATTGGCCGTTGCTCTAGGAACTTGATTTTTCGTGCTCTCTCGAGAACATCTCCCCACTATGGCTAAGTAAAGGCGTAGTGAAAACTATTAACAGCTCGATATTAGACCATCTGGTGCGAACCAGTCACAGAGCCAGTGTAGAGGAATCCTTCTCTATTATATACCGAGTGCCTAAGAAATTACCAAAATCATCGAAGCACTACATGCTCCAAACAGCAGAGGCTATTGCAATTCGCCTCAAACAACCAGTGCTCTGTGTTCAAAAGAAACAAGTCCAACCCCTACTACTGCCCTGGCCCTCAGTAGAAACCATAAACTCATGAATTTGTAATATTATCTTTCCTAATTCTTCTGACATTCAGCTTATTTTATGTTGATGCTGTTTAGCTGTAATCTATCAATATTATTGATTCGATGTTATCTAAACAACATTAATGTTGTTCATAACACTAATTCATTCATTCATTCACTATAATGTATACATAATTGTAGAGCCTGATGATGAATTTATCGAAAAGAGTACTCTTTGTTCAGTATCCATTCTTTTGAAAAAAGAAAAAAACTTTGTGAACTTACATCAAATGCACATTGATAGGGTTTTTCCCCAGTATGCACAAGTTGATGACGTTTCAATTTACTTGATTCTACAAATGCTTTACCGCATTCTGCACAAATATGAACACGAGGCCCATGTGTGTGTAGGTGTTTACGCATAGCAGCTGTATCACGAAATGTTTTACCACAACCCAGATGAGGACAGAACACAGTACGATTTGGTCCAAAATTAGTTGACATTGTTGTCGCTACTACTGACGTTATATCAGTGGTAGCATTCAGAGGACCACCGGCACCACCACCAGCAGCACCACCACTACCACCACGTCTCATTGAATTTTGATGCATAGAAGAAACATAGAAACCATTTCGATTATATGCCATAGACTGTATATCTGCTGATCTTATACCTGTAGAAGACTGAGCCATAAAATTAACTCCTCCTTCACTTTTCACATATGTACCATCTAAATAGGAAGGAAAAAAAAAGAAATGTTTAAAAAATCAACCGTAAATAGTAATTAATGGAATATTAAGAAATATTTGAGTAATGAGTCCACATAACTTCAAGGTCCACGTAGACCACCCACCAGCCACATATATATGTAATGCAGTACTTGACAGTAATTATTACATGAAGATGACAAGCAGATAACAATACACAAAACATGAAAATAATACAATCCATAATGATAAAAAAATTTGAAGAAGGCAGCAGAAGAAGGAGTGAGAGTATATGAAAACTAATAAATATGAAAAAAACTTTCTTCCTTACTCAGATCCAACTGAATGTACCTCGGGGTCACGGAGATCACTTGTCTTCAGCCAGTATTCCCAACTGGGACACATCTCGGTGGACTTACGCAATGACTTTTATACATCTCTGTCGTTTTCTTTTTTGGATTCCATGTTGTACTGATTCCCCCACCCCCCCACACAAACACCCAATAGTGCTTCAATGAAGTCAACACATTTGTGAAGAAAGAAGCATGACACACACATTATAAATAAAGAATAGTGGTTTAAGTAACACACTTCAAGAGAAATGACAAGAGAAAAAGGCGAACAATAAAATTATACAATCTAAGCGTAGTAAATAAGCAAAAGAGAAAAGAAAGCCAACTCAGAAAAGAAATATATGGTGTTGCAATTTCATTGAAGATAACCTTGACTAACAACAACCAGTCAATATTTTTTTCCCTTTTAAAATGTCTACTATCTTTGGTCAGCATAAAAAGCGTGATCAGTTTTGTTATTTATCCTTCAGGACTACTTACTCTTCTCTGTGACTACCACCTTATCTTCAAATTGAAGTATGCACTGAAGCATGTTGCCCAGCAGGGCAATGAAAGCTTCGCAAATTAACTATCTAGCTCAGAGAACACAACCACATCAAAAAAACCTTATCTTACCTATCTCATTGTATGTATGCTCAAAGCTAATTAAATGATTCGGTAAATCACAGTTAGACATTCGGTATACCGTTAGTAGCAAAGTTGATATTCATGACTATCGTGATTGCAATGTCTGTCTGGATTCAACATAGAACTTGGCACCGAAGTGCAGCAGTTCGAATTGCCACGTTCCAAATAGCACACAAAGGTAGACAAGAAGATGAGTGATGAAGAGAATCAATAGAGTTTTGACAAGTATAAGAGTGAAACAGAATGAGTAATGGTAGAAAGGAATATGAAAGATTACAGAGACTGAATACATCTGCGTAAGCCATTGACAACGATTTTGAGCCATGTCACCTATTGTCTGCCTCCAGCCATTGATTCTTAGAGTCCCGAGGGCGGGCCCCAACCCGGAAGTCTGCATCTCCCTACCTGACTGACTCAGTTTAACTGTCAAGGATTTCATGGATTGATGAGGCCATGTTTTTGTTTGGCCACCACTTACTCTTTTCCAACCAACCTGCACCTATATCAGCTAGTAATGCCCGTCCGTCGGGGGAGGCGATGGTTAGGCATGCGCAGCACGTGACCTAGCCATCTCAATCTATGTAACTTTATAGCCTCGTCGATTGATTTTCCCTCTTTGCCCAACACTCTACGCCTAATGTCAACATTACTTACCTTATTATACCACCTAACGTGAGAAAGAGATCGTAGACATCTATGATCAAAAACAGTCAACCTTTTCATGTCTTCAACTCGTATTGGCCATGTTTCAGAGCCATAGAGAAGGACGGAGCGAACTGCTGAGCAGTACATACGTCCCTTGGTTGATAGCCGGATGTCACGCCTACGCCAGAGATGTTGTAAGTTAGCGAAAGCAGCTCGAGCTTTTTGGATCCCCGTGATTGCAATATATTTGACTCCAGCTATGCACAATCATCTCGCCTAGATTACTACGTCACTAGTATTCTAGCCGGTCCCAAGCCCGGATAAAGACGGAGGGTTGGGGCGTGGTGCTAGCAACTCCACCCCCAAAACTTAACCAAATCGCTACAAAAACTTCAACGCACAAATATATTCAAAATTCTAAAATTAAAAATAGTGACCTTATTTTTCGCTGGAATCGGGGAAGTGAAATGACGCAGCCTGGTGAAAGCCTGCCTTCGGGAAGCCAGTCAGCCGATGTGCCTTCTTTCGATGAAAGCAAAAATAAGGATGGGGACGTGGAATATTCGTACAATGTACGAAACTGGAAAGGCTGCTCAGGTAGCCGCAGAAATGAGGAGATATAAAATGGAAGTGTTGGGAATCTGCGAGAGCAGATGGAACGGATGCGGAAGATGCCAACTACCAACTGGAGAGACAATAATCTACTCCGGTCACCCAGAGGACGATCACGAGCACACCGAGGGAGTAGCCATCATGATGTCACCAACAGCGGCTAAAGCTCTCATGCAATGGGAACCAATCTCCTCCAGGATAATGACAGCCAGGTTCAACTCAAAAGGAAAAAAGGTTACAATCATTCAATGCTACGCGCCTACAAACGTCTCAGAACAAGAGAAGAAGGAGGATTTCTACAGTCAACTACAAACAGTAATGGACAATGTCCCAAATGGCGATATCAAAATCCTGATGGGTGACATGAATGCGAAACTGGGAGGAGACAATACAGGAAGAGAACTCACCATGGGTCGTGAGGCCCTCGGTGAAATGAACGAAAATGGTGAACTCTTCTCAGACTTCTGCGCCTTCAATGATTTGGTGATTGGTGGCAGTGTGTTCAAACACAGGGATATACACAAGGCAACATGGATTTCACCAGATGGACACACCAAAAACCAGATAGACTTCATTTCAATCTCAAGGAAGTGGAGACGGAGCCTACTGGACACAACGTCGTGGAGAGGAGCAGATGTGGGTTCAGACCACTATCTAGTACAAGGGACATTCAAGGTGAAGCTAAAAGCCTCGAGGATACCTGGGGATAGGCCACAATGCAAGTTCAACACGCAAAAACTGAAGGACACAATCACACAGGACATTTTCACTGCAACTGTCAGAGCAAAGCAAGAAAGACTACCTGGCACCACTGAGGAATCATCCGTGGAAGACCATTGGAACTCTCTGAAGGTAATTTTCAACGAAACGTGTTCAACGGTTTTAGGAAGAAAGAAGAAACAAGACAAGGAATGGCTCTCAACGGACACTTGGAAGCCAATAGAGGAGAGGAGAATGGTGAAAGAGAAAATGATTCAATGCAAAGACGGACAAGAGAAAGAGACGCTGAGCTCAACTCACACAGCACTGGACAAAGAAGTGAAGAAGAGTGCCAGGAAGGACAAAAGACAATTCTACGACAATCTGGCTACTGAAGCTGAGAAGGCAGCAGGCAAAAGGGACCTGAGGACACTATATCAGATAACCAAGTCTCTATCCGGGAAGAGATCAACACAAGTGAAACCTATAAAAGACAGCCAAGGGAACCCAATTACCAAAGAAGAAAGACAGATTAAACAATGGGCGGACCACTTCAAAGGACTCTTGAACCGACCACCACCTACAACCCGTCCAGAAATACCAACAACAGCACGTACACAACTGCAAGTTGACACCAATCCTCCAACGAAAACTGAAGTCTTGAATGCAATCAAGCTTCTGAAAGCTGGAAAAGCAGCTGGACCAGATGGAATACCCCCGGAAGCACTGAAAGCGGACCCAGAAACGACAGCAGATATGCTGACTCCATTATTGCAAAAGATCTGGAAAGAGGGAAAGGTGCCTACTGACTGGAGGAAAGGTTACCTAGTGAAACTACCAAAGAAGGGCGACTTAGGACTCTGCAAGAACTGGCGAGGAATCATGCTCCTCTCGACGCCAAGTAAAATCCTGAGTCGCATCATCCTGGAGAGAATCAAGGACGCAGTGGATACAGAACTCCGACCAGAACAAGCTGGATTCAGGAAAGGCAAATCATCTTCTGACCAAATTGCAACTCTACGCATTATCATCGAACAAAGCATGGAATGGCAATCAAATCTCTACCTCAACTTTATAGACTTTGAGAAGGCCTTCGACAGCGTTGACCGCGAAGTAATTTGGAAACTACTCGAGTACTACGGCGTACCCCAAATATTCATCAACCTTATTCAACAACTGTACGACAACGGCACATGTCAAGTGGTCCACAACGGAAAACTCAGCGAAGCGTTTGGAGTAAACACAGGAGTCAGACAAGGGTGCTTATTATCACCAATGATATTCCTAATTGTGGTGGACTGGATTATGCGTCAGACAGTGGGAAACGAGAAGACAGGGATATCCTGGACCGAAGTGAAGAGCCTAGAAGACCTGGATTTCGCGCGTGGATGATTTATGTTTGATGCCACACAAAATCGAAGACTTACAAGCGAAAACCGACAAACTGGTCGAAGAAGCAGCCAGAGAAGACAGGACTCCAGGTGAACATAGACAAGACGGAGGTTATGAAAATAAACCAACCAACAACAACAACAGCAGCAACATCCAGTGCCAATCACCATCAACGGGAGGGATTTGAAAGAGGTTACTTCTTTCACTTATCTAGGGAGCATTGTCTCAACCACAGGAGGAACGGACGAAGATGTCAAATCGAGAATCGGGGAGGCGTGAAACACATTCATCAACCTGAAACCAATCTGGAAATCTTCGTCACTCAGCCTGCGTCAACAACGAAATTCGGATTTTCAATACAAACGTCAAGTCAGTCAGTTCTTCTATACGGATGGATCAGAAACTTGGCGGCGGGTCACAAAGAATATTTCCAACAGCCTGTTGCAGACCTTTATCAACAACTAACTGTCTTCGTTCTATACTGAAGATCAGATGGCTGGAAAGAATCACAATCAAGAAACTATGGGAAGAAACAAACCAAGAATCAATCGCCAACAACAAATATGCAGGAGAAAGTGGAGATGGATTGGACACTCGCTGAGGAGGCCGCTGGGTGACATCGCGTGTCAGGCCAGTGCTCGAGTGAAACCCGAAAGGGAAGCGGCGAGTGGGACGTCCAAGGGTGACATGGAGGA